TATTTATTAATAATGTAATATTTGAATTTTATTAATATTTATTTATAATACAATAATAATTAATAATAAATAGTGTTAATGAGGGTTATAATTGAAAAAAGTGACAATAAGCTACCAAAACGCTACTCCAAGTACCGTTTCAATAAGCTAACTTATGTACATACAAACGTGTACCCAGAAAATAAGATAGCTTATTTTTATCAAATAATACCTCAATGTTCCAATGCTAACTCTCAAAAATACTACTATAAAAACATCTATAACATTTTTGTATAAAAAAGATTTAAAAGAATATCTTTAAAATGTATTTTAAAAAAGATATTGTCCAAAAAAACGAAAACCGTCACAACGATATTCTTTTTACATTAAAAATTGATTTTTAGGAGAAAAAAATTTGGGACCGACTTGAGCCGGTTACAAAGCATGGAACCAGGCCTTGGCATTTTGATCGGGACACGGACCAGTTACAGATGTGCAAACTGGGACGAACTTGGGCCGGTTACAAAGCATGGAACCGGGGCTTGGCATTTTGGTCGGGAAACGGACCGGTTACGGATACGTAAATTGGGATCGGCATCGGTTTTTGGCAAGTAAAAAGGAAGAGGGACTGAAACTGCAATTTCTGAAAACTATGGGGTAGAAAACGAACAAATGGGTAACTGGCCCCGTAACCTACACGTGCCAAACCCAGCTAAATCCCGAAAAGTGGCGAATACCAATCATACGATGTCGTTTCGAGCCGGAGACATGCTCACCAGTTCTCATTGATGATCAAGTACTCTCCAAAGTACTCCACCACACTTGTACTGTGTTCAATTTCTTTGGTCTATGGAAGGAATCGGCTCGCGTACCGGCCGGCCATCTTCCCGCTACGGCTCGGCGCCGGTGTTCACCGGACCGGTGAGAAGGTGGCAGAAGCAGTGGGTCCATGTCTCCTCTTCGTCTTCTTCTTCGGTCTCCTATAACCATGGCAACAACTTCAATTCCAATGGTAACAACAACAGCAATAACAACAACGTCTCTGCTGTACGGATTCGCCGTTGGACACCTGTTCCGTCTGCTCAGTCCGGCGGAGAATCGGAATCTGTAGCGGAAGAGAGACCGAGGCGGAAGCTACGGTATGCACCGGTAAGCTGGTTCACCATTAAGTTTGGGGGTTTTAAGTTCTGTTAGGGTTTATCGAACTGATTGGGGGTTTATCTATGAGATGAGACTGTTGAATTTCTCTTTGTTTGTTCGTTTTTCTTCAAATTGATGCGTTACCTCTAAAACTAAGTTATCATAATTAGGAGAAACTTTAACTTGTCGAGTTTAATATGATAATGGATTCACAGCTTAAATACCTATTTGATTTCATGATTGGTGATTTCAATTGGACTGTAAACTGGTAGTCATGTTGAATTCTTTTCTATATCCATATTATTCGGCATCATAAAATTTTGATTTCACTTTAGAGTTATGAATGTCACAGATGATCTTCCCAAACGCACATAAGTAGTGTAAGAAGTTGATGTTCTTGATTTGGTAAATCATGAATTGGTATACTGGATGTTCATTCAATTATATTGCTTAAAAATCAATGGTGATGTCTAATGTGATAATGTATATATGTGTTGGTAATGAATATTTGGGTTTTATGAAGATCTGCACTTCATTGGGACCCTGTTTACAGTAGTTAGACAACTTTTGATGGGGATCGAAGGGAAACTTAGGGCTTGTTTGTTAGCAGCTTAATATGCTCACAAGTTATTCGATCAGCTATACATGATTGTTTGATAGTGGCTTAATAATCTAAAAAGTCAGCTTATTCAGTAAGATTTCAGCGGGAAGCTTTACGCAAAAAACCAAGTTTCTAGTCAAACCTCTCCATTCCAATTAAAAAACTCATTCATTTATGAAAAAATCTTCTCAAACAAAAATTTTCCCAATCTATGAAGACAGATTAATCTATATAGACAACTTTATCCATGCAGGACTTGATAAAAAATTAAACAAACCGCCGCTTGCTTGTTTAATGTTTATTACCTGTTTTATCCCCTCTTACCAATTACCTGGTTAGAGATGGTGCTGTTTACTAATCCCCTCATGCTGGTCCATGATGCTGACCTGTTAAGCTAAGGGAGGAACTCTTACTTGGTCAGTGAATAGCCAGATCACGTTCTTACCCGGTTAGGGATTATCCAATTTCTGTTGGTAATCGGCCCATAAGTTGTCACCTATTTGATGCAATGAAATGAGTCTTTACCAGATAGTGGGTAATGAAGCATTCATTCCCCAACATCCCCGTCGCCTCCCCCCTCCCCCTTCTATACAAACAAATTAATCCACACAGACAGCTTTATGCATGTAGAACTTAATGGAAAACCAACCAAATATCCCCCGAGTACGTAGCTCATATGGAATTGGTCTTTTGGCTTACATTGTGAAAAAAAAGGAATAGACCTACTTTTGTCGGTTTAATGCAGTTGTTGGTGGATGAAACTCCAAACTTAGGCTATAGTTACTAAATTATATAATAATCATTACCGTTTATCCCGAGTCCTGGAAATGATCAACAACACTTTTTATAATATGCATACTAAGTTTGGAAAGTTCTTGTGCAGATTGTTGTGCTAGAAGGTAAGAAAAAGGAAACTGAAAAGACCGATCCTGATGTTAAAGAAGTAAGCAAGACAAACCAATATATAGCTCAAGGAACTTCAGAAAATGACGATAATGAAAAAATGAGCTCCGACAACGTTCTTTCAGCAAAAGCTCAGGTGATGAAGCAGAACCAACTTTATTTTTGTTCCTATTTTCCAAGCAGCACATTTTACTTTTTACCCTTCACTAGAGTAAACTAAGGGGTCGTTTACCAAGCGCTTACCAGGTAAGTATGGTAAGGACCAAGAATCTTACCCGGTAATAACAAGGAACCACAAGGGTTGTTGCATAGTGGTTGAGGTCCTGGGGGATGTGGTGGAATATCCCATTTGCTCAGGGTATGATTTCAGTTGTACACAATATTGTCCATTGAGCTAGTGAGCTTATCAGGGCTGATTTCTTGCAGTCACGATTTGACGGAATTAGTCCAGGCTATGCCTGGGGCTCCCTTCCAAAAAAAGGGATTATAACGAGGACCGAGAATCTTACCCGGTAAGTAAGGGAAAAGACTCTTACTAGGTTAGTGCTTATCGGGGAGGGGACGCTTACCAACAATCCATTCCGATGGCCGAGAATGTTAATTGATAAGGTAAATAAGGGTGGCAACTCTTGCTGTTAAACACTTACCCAGTAAGCGTTTGGTAAACGATCCCCTAAATACAGGTAAAGTTTGTTACTTTTCACCTGCCAATATCATTCACATTCCTAAGTGAACATGGCACCTTTGTTTGGTCATGGAAGACTTAAAAGTCCAACTCAGTCACAACTAGTTTATACCCCCTTTTTTATGGGAAATTAATTAAAATAGCTATTTTCAAACTTTGAATTCATCTCTTAGCCATTTCTCTCCCAATATTTTAAAAATGTCACTACCTCTACAAAGGGCAACTTCTCAACTTGTGGAACGGTCGAAGTGTTAAAAAAAAAGTTTTTGAACCAGGTCCGCAAATGCATGGACCAAATTGGTAAATTAGTCCCAACACTCCCGCAAGTGGTGAAAGCGCCACTTGTGGACCTTTATCTAATTTACAGATTTGATCCCTGCACTTACGGACCTGGTTCAGAAACATTTTTTTACATTTTGACCCCTCTACAAATTGAGGAGGTGGCACTTATGGATATAGTGAAATTCTTAAAATTTAAGGATAGAAATGGTTAAGAAATGAATGCAAAACCTGAAAATGGCTATTTCTATTAATTTCCCTTTTTTTTATTCATCAAACCTTTATTACTCTTTGGACCCCTAAATTCAACTACTGTCTTGATGACCATTTTGAGTTTCCCCATACCTGCTTGCCAGAAACACACACTGATCAGCATTAAACAAGTGATCTTGAAAGGCGAAACTGCGTAGATAGAATCTCAGAAAATCTTACAGGAAAATAAGACTCATAATACCACATTGTGAGTTAAAATATACCAAAAAGAAATAAAAATCTTGCATCCTTTTTCCTTTTTAGTATATTTTCTAGAATTCAGAAGACAGAAAGAATTAGAAGATTAAGGTTGAAACCTGGTCTATTTCATATCGATTAGAATATGGACTCGGGACTGCCAATTGTGAATTTTATATTCACAAATTACCGAGCGAATTTTTCAAGGGTGTTCGCTGAGCGGGTGTACTTTTAGGGTGGATCAATGTCCTGTACAGTCGAATTCCACGGTTTCGAGGGATTGTTTTTAAGTTTTCTGGTTGATTTCAAAAGACTTTCGGTTTCTTGGTTGATTTCAAGGGACTTTTTCGGTTGTTTGGTTGTTGTCCCTTGTATTTTCTAATATCCTAGAGCACCCCTCGAAGTTTAGCATGTGCACCTTTCATACCCAAAAAATAAAATCTACTTGCAAAAAATCAGTTGAGCAGGTGATATGGGACCTCATTGGGGTCTTGATAGGACTGCTACATTTGACGCGACATTAATTGGGAGTCTAGGACAAGATGGAACCGAGCGGTATAAAACTGCAATTTTTTGTCCCACCAAAATAGGTAGAACAAAAAATTAGGAAGACGGACAAGATTGGTAAATTACTAAACTACTAATGTCAAAATGGAACTCAAACCTTTCGAATTCTTTCACCTGTCCATCTTACTCTCGTCCTATCTTGTCCTGTTCTGTCTAGGCCAGTCGAGTCTGCATACATAGAGATCATATTCTAAAGTTGACCAAATTACTTGCACTTTTAAAAGTTGAAGTCGCTTTTTCTCTTGCAGGCATCAGAGAAGAGTGCAACCGAAGACCTGAATAAGCACCCCATGGATTTGGACGTAGGTTTGGATCATGATACCAACAAGGTGAAGGTGGCTGACTGGGTTAAGGCTGCACAGAGAGGTTTCGCACGTTGAACTAGTTTATCAATTGCAAACGAAGACGAACTGTGCACTTTGTACGACTCTTGTAATTAATCGTTCACTGTAGATAGTATCTCAGCATCAACGTTTTTAGGTCCAATAACCTGCCCCTTTCACGTGATGCAGAGACAGTTTGTTAGCAGCTTAATGAGCTTAATTAGACTCAACTTATTCAGTCCACTTTACACGACGCTCCTTCCATTAATGGAATTATCCTTCCAAACAAAAACTTTCTAAATTTATACGGACAAATTAATCCACACAGCTGGTTCTGTCCATACATGACTTAATTGGAAAACCAACCAAAGAATCCCTTTATTTTCCATGCCAATTTCAAGTTACCTATGGAAAGTAAATTAACTGGTTATCGTAACCTAAAGCTAAAGTAGACTACTTAAACTAATTTTGTACCAAACTAAACCAATCAATATGTCTATTAGCCATACTTATTAAGTTGTTGCTGATTACTGTTGGTCCATATCAAGTATGCAAACTTGATTGGTACATGATATTGGAAATTATGTACCACAGTAATACCATTTTATCGACTTATTTAATTATTTTTTAGTTTTTGTATTTCTATGTACTGAATGTTAAAACACTGTTGTTTTAACTATATTATTTGAACATTTGAATTTTTACAAGTTTTATTCCTTGCAAATTAAAGACTCTTAAACAACATGTGTACTACATGAAACTCAAAATTTGAACAAAATGACAAGTTTTCATGTATATAACTTGAAACTAGTACGAAACCGATAGTAACATATACCAACCAAAAAACTAAGGGGCCGTTTACTTAACCACTTACCCGGTAAGCATTTAACAATAAAATTCAACGTTGTCGCTCACTTACCGAGTAAGATTTTAGTCTACCAAAACGACATTGTATGTAACAATATACCCCGTAAATGCTAACCATGGTAAGAGTTCTCGCCATCACTTATCGGGTAAGACTCTTGGTCATTGACTTCGCTCATACTGAGTAAGATTCTTGGTTCTTGCCATATTCATCCGGTAAGGTAATGTGACTTTGGTAAGCACTTACTCGAGTAAGCATTTGATAAATAGCCTCTAAGACTTTGCATATTAATTATAACTGACTAATACAGTATTTGGAACAAAAACTTGGTATCATCAAGTTCACCCCTAACTTATATCAAGGGAACTAACCATCTTATATCGATTTCGGAGGTGTTTTTCTCAAACGAAACTTGCGAAGCCCTTTTTCAAAGTAAATTAACCTCCCAAACTAAGCGAACCAACTACGACGATCTACCCAACTAGAAGCATCAAGCAACGGAAAAACAATTCTCAACTGTGACTACAGTCGATGAAACCGTATAAAGAGAATAAATTAAACAATTAAGATCCAGATTTCCATCCACGGCGGATGGCTGATTGACCGCCATGTCCACTTTCGATGTCTCAGTAGCCTCAATGTCATGGTAATTTATTACAGTTGACACAAAAAATGAAGTAAATCAGAAAGAGTTCAGTAGAAATACCGAATGTCCTACATGACAAAAGATCTCAAAAGCTCGAGGATATCACGTAAACAGCAATACATTAGTCAGAAACGTTTAGTTCTCCACAGCTATGGTTACCCCGACTTCAGCAGGGCGTATAATTCGATCATGCAGTGTGTATCCTGCCTGCAAACGATAAAAACAATAAAAACCATCAACAAAACCCACAGCTGTTGAAGAGTAAACCACTTGGGTTGTGGTGGTGCACTGGCTAACTCGAGCTCGAGTATTTTTTGAGTTATCGAGCTTGAGCTTGATGCTCGTTCATAGGCTCAAACTCACGATCGATTAAGTAGTTTATTGGCTCAAGGTTGATGATTTTTATATTTTCATTGTATGATTATGAACATATTAGCATGTTCTACTCGAAAATTTAATCGAGTTTACACCGCTAGTCGGTGCAAGTAAGCTGGCCGGAGTTACCCCAAAATAGAAGCCTTGAAGAGTACAAGACAATGAAAGAAATGCATACCTTGAGCACAACTGCAACAGTGTCAGGAGACTTGGTGGAATCTGGTACTTGGAAAACTGCATTATGCCTATTTGGATCAAACTCCTCATTTGTGGGATCATACTTCTCCACTCCAAATTTCTTGAAAACCTAAAACCAAACCAAACTTGCACACGGTAAATCTCACACAAAGGTAGGGTCTGTCGGTGTAGGATGTATGCAAATCTTGCCTCTACCCCTGAGAAGGGGAGAAACGTTTTCCATGAAGACCTCCGGTTTGTAAAACAAAAACTTGCAAGAAACAAGAGTAGGTAAAGGTTATAGGTAAGAGTGTGTGCAATCAAGGGGTTATCGTCTTAAACGGCCACCTCATGAAAAAAGTTACATATTATAGCCATTAGCCACCATTTTATTCTCTCACAAAATTACCGAGAAATGCAAGTCAACGGCACTTTTTCTTGCCGTGGTGCAAGTTGCGACTTCAGCTTGCTTTTTGTGCGTCGACGCATTTTCAAGAAAATGATACCGCAACTTGAGATGTCTCAAATTATAGGTGCGTCAAAAGTGTCTTGTGGCGTTGACTTGCAGTTTCTTGGCTATTTTTAAAAAAAAAGTTTCGAGGTGGCTAATAAGTAAAAGAAATTCCACATACGGTTATTTATGATGATAACCCTGCAATCAAGCAACTAGTACATTTAACCGCACAAAGCAAGGCAGCAAGGACGAAAATGAGAAAAATAGGTTAAACTAATCAAGGAAACACAAAGTGTAATACTCACAACTACTAACACACAGAGGTGGCACAAAATATTTATCATAAGTTGAAACTAAATAAAAAATAATTATTAAATAAAATAAAAATTAATCATAGTTAAGAAATAAAGCACAAAAAAATTAAGAAATTAGACAAATTAGGTTGGATTGGCTAATCCGTCGATGGGGTATTGGTTGGGCGTGGAGAGCCAGTTATTCTAATTAAAAAACATTGCAAAATTTACCTACCAAGACCTGAACATGATACATACTCTTTCTCCAAGAGCACTCTTACGTTCTTACCGACGCTTTGCACCTTTATTTCATTTAATTTGACCAAAACGGTTGCACATATCTAATCAATACGGTCACACCTAAGAGTCGTAACTTTTTTCACTACGTCGGGACAATAAAGTGGTGTGCGTGCCATCATATGCCCCTTACTAGGTCCGCCATGCTAACACAGGAAGAAAAGCTAAGACTAGTCACAAGTAGAATCAACAATGGACTAAATTTATTTCAAAAACCTGAAAGCAACATATTCATCAACCTAATTTTGCATGATGCCTGTTTTGACGACTTCATAGTTCATATAATTCTTGCACAATAAATTATGGACAGGATAGTAATCACAACATTCCAGGTGTGCATGATAACAGAAATGACAACACTGCTTTTTCCAAAAAAATAAAAAAGGATAACACTGATTCTCTCATTGTCAATAAATGGAAACATGTGACAAGTAAGAATTGATTTTAATGAACATGTTACCTCTGCAAGCTGTTTTTCGGTCATCTCAACGCCTTCTAGCAGTGTTTTCAAAAGTGGAACAGCTCCAGCACTGTCCTCAGATGTGTCAATCTTAGCAAAACTCTCTTTTACAACCGAAGAAGCTCTATCGAGATTATCTGCAACATCCAGTAAGCTCTTTGCAAAATTCTGCACCATATAATGCATAAATACCACCGTAAGAGCATGAAAAATATCCAAAAGGCTATAAAAAGCTAATAGGGAAAAATGCAGCATAGTTTTTCTTAGTTCCTATCTAGTGTAACAAAGAATTTTATTTCTCAATCAATGTAACAAAGTTTCAAATTTTCATATTTAATATAACAAAGTCCCAAAATTTACCTATTTAATGTAACATTTGATGGCGTGGATGTCAAGTTTATCGTCCAGTTCAATATAACTCTTCCGTAAACCTTTCGTAAAAGGATATCCACATCATCAAATGTTACAAGATCAGCAGGTTACCGGTCAAAATGAGTATGCAAAATAGAAAATTTATAAACTTTGTTACATTGATTAAGGAAAAAAGAATTCTTGTTACACTAAATAGGAACTAAACCAAACTTTGTTACATTTTGATGCATTTTGCCCAAAGCTAATACCAAACCTGTATTGCGAACTTCTTTGAGTTTTCTGCCTCTCTTTTTGTCCTCTCCATGATGTTCTCCATATCTGCATAGGTCCGAAGAACTTTATCTTTCATTTTCTCAATCTCTTCTTGCTTCGTCTTCAGAAGTTCCTCCTTCTCAGTCACAAGTTTTACTAGATCCTCCACTGTCAAGTCTTCCTCACCTGAGCCTGATTTGAAGAAATATGATTTATTTAGCATTACTCCTAAAAAAACTAGACATTAACCAGGGTTCCCAATGACAAACCTTGTCCATTATCGTTTTCTTTTGCATTTTCTTTTGCATCATCGGGCTTATTTGTAGTTGGTCCTCCATTTTCAGAAGTACTCTTTTCATTGGCTTGTGGAGATGCAGATGATGAGATCCCAAATCTTTGAAATGCTGATGAACTTAGAATAGAATTATGTAATAAAGATATTTGACCTGCTATCACCTACAACAACAAAACCACAGCTATAATGCCTAAAAAATTACCAAACCAAACACTGGACTAGGAAGTGTAACCTACCTTATCACCATGATCGTGCAAAGGTAAATCACAGGCTTTGCAAATCATAAGTTAATATCCAAGACTCCAAATCACTTGGCACCCTCCCCCCCCCCCTTCCCAACCAAAAATAAGATCACATTTCAAAAATTAAAAATCTGATCAAAAAATGCAAACACAATCCATCAGTATGGTGAAACATTTGGAGCTCGAAAACAGTTTATGCTCCATATATAGCCACTAGCCAGTATCACTATATAACATAGCAATCCTAAGTCCTAACACTTTCAAAGGGAAGTTGCAGATAATAATCTTCCCTGAAGAATACCAGAATGACTAGCAAAAAAGTGGCATCATACCTGTTTCGATTACATTATTTATAATCCAATTACTAAGTTCATGATTAGAGAGCAAGTTGACTCATGTTTCAAGGTTTATTTAACACCAATCTGACCACCCCTCTTCACTTATTGGGTCAAATGTGTCTTGATCTTTTCTGGTAACACCACTACACCAGTACATCACATCTACCCCAACCACAAATGCCATCACTTCTTCTATGTTGTAAAACAATCAGATCAAATTTGATCCCTCAAAATGTAAATTAAAATCCAAACTTAATGTCAACATTTCATGCCCTCAAACTAACTCATAGATCAACACGCCTGGAGACTAACACACACACCATCCATGGGAGAAGGGGTTTGGGGTGGGGAGGACAAAAATAATGCTCTAAGCAAAGAACCTTGATGTCCAACACAGAGTAAATACAGTTGATTAGAGACCCTGAATCTTCTGTTCAGCTCAGGGGTGTATCACCACCACTACTATGAGAATATTGACCAATGCACGATTCTTTAGAACACTAATACCAACAAGCTAATCAGGATATATAGCGTTTGTCCAAATAAAGTGTAGTCACGAGTTGAAGGAGTTCCAACAACATGATTTAGACTTACAGATGCATGGGTGTTATTTCCAAAAACAGAAAGCATACAACATACTATGCCCCTTCCAAAGCATTGTCATGAATACAACCTTTTTGTTACTACATACAACACATACCACGGAAATAATTATGCATGATTGGCTAATCCAGCATCTTCCAAAGCGATACTTTTCATCAAACACAAAAATGAATAAGAATCTAGATTTGATCAAGAACAACAAAAAGATACGAATCATACAATTATCCATAGGCGCCCAGGCAAAAAATGACAGTAGAATATGTGTGTACATGTGAAAACCTTGACATATGCACTGCAGCAAGTTTACTGACACATTGTATGTGATGCTAAAACCAATAAACTGCTTATTGATACCATTTTTTATCTCAAGATGTACTTACCCTTCATAACTAGGTATAGAGGTCAGATAAAAATCAGATATTAACTGCTTGGTAACATCTTAAAGGACACTTAACCTCTAAGCTCCTTTTACTATGAAATTTCCAATTTACGTACTGATTACTGGAAGCCTAACATGTAATACAAAAATTCAGCAAAAAAGTTACTTTTGGAATTATGATCGACCAGAAGAAAAAGCCATAGCATATTGTGAATAAAACACATCATGTTACTCAACCTTCACACTTGTGATTATATGTTATGCAAAAACCAGACTAAAAATGTGAAGCATACACATGAGGTGCAATTAAAAAGAGATCCAGCCAAACATAATGATTTTTTGGAATTTTTCTCCAACCTGATGCACATATAAACATGTGCTAGAAGGGACAGGAGCAGGGGGTACAAGTGTGATGATCAAGAATGATTGTTTGATAACACATCAGCTATGGATATTTGTAAATTTAACCAAAAACACAAAAATAATAATATGTCGATATCACTTTATATTGGCGTAATAAGAAGTCGAATTGTTGAAATTAGAATACATAAAACACTGGGCAAATTGCTGACACTATCGTATTTTAGATTGTAAATTATGCATCAAACTGTAAAAGTAGACTAAATATTTGCACGGAAATATAATGGATGAAACTCCAATCTACTTGATATTACATGTGCACTCAATGATATAACAATCACTGATTAGCTGCCTAAATTCTACAGTTAAGTCCAACAATCATTACTAGTTAGCTACTGAAAACACAAAGAGTTGCTTAAATCACCATGACATTGCTGTATCAATTACCTTTGGTGTCACCAAACCACAAAAAACCAAAAAAAACTACTCCCCCTCCCATGATAATTGCATTATTTGACTTTGATATCATTAATAGGTTTGTTTAGCTGTTAATCAAACGTCTAAATTCCCCTTCAACAATGGCAAGACAAGAGACTTTGTAGAGCAAATGAAATAGTAATAATGATTTATGATGAAGAGACTAAGCAAACAGGTAACTTAAGCATGAAAAAATCTCTACAACAATTTCACGGGATTTCACAAAATAGAAGTTAAGAACTATAAATCTACCATCTGAACTCAAAAGGCTAAAGCTGGCCGACTAGTGAGCCACAGAATGCGAAATGTTAAAAAGCAACAAGTAATGCGAAATCTACCAATAACGTAATAAGCCGATGAATCCCCAGCAGATGAAACACATAAAAAATGCTCCATCGACCTCTGTTCATTAATTTTTGACTTCAAGTGTTTAACGAATGACTTGCACATTCAATATTTGACATAAACCTTCCGTGTTCGGTATTAAAATCCATACAACTGGTATTCAACCCAAAAATCCCGTTCTTAAAACGTACTACCCCTTAAACCCTAGTAAAACCCTAGCTGATGCACAACGTAAGAACAAAAAACAAATGAAATACATAAATTCTCGGAAACGAATTCACGTTTTCGATGATTACCTTGTTCTGTGAACCAGGAAGAGAGCAAAAATGATTTCCAGAGATCGGAATAGAGGGACGATTAATAGGTCGGCCGCGGAGGATTAAGGAACTGTGGCACCGAGTAACGACGGCCCTTGCAATCCGGGTGGTGATTCTGCCGACTACCATATCTCAGATAGCAACCAATTTGTGGGAGAGATAGGTGTTGATCAACGAGTAAAATTTGAGAAAAAAGGGAGTATTTTTAGGGTTCTTGTGCTTGGAAAGAAAGAAAGAAAAGGGCGGGTAAAAAATCTTTGATACATATACCAAATCGGTAATTAAATCGTTTATTATTATTTTTATGAACGAAATAAATATATATAAATTATCAATCTCGAGTCCATGAACGAGTTACATCGACACGAGTTCGAGTCCATGAACGAGTTAAATCGACACGAGTTCGAGTCCATAAACAAGTATTGTAATCAAGCTTAATAACTCATAAAATATCTGAGCTCGAACAACACTACATTGAAAATATTATTCGAGCCTGCTATTATTTTTTGAGTTGAGCTTGAATAGGGATGGTGGTTTGTCCCGACTCGGTAGGAAACTCGGTTCATCCGATCTGAACGGAAATGGGGATTCTCTGCTAAAACGGGTCTTGGGACCGGGGATCCCCGGTAGACTCAAACCGGGGTTGGGGTTGAGGTCGGATAGCGTATCCCCCGACCTGTCCCGTATGCGGTATATAATTTTATTAATATATTTTATATAATGTATGTGTAAATTATACATGTGTGTGTATATATTATTTATTTTCTAGTGGTAAAGGCTTGGGCATGGCATAGTCATGAACCCGAGTTCGAGCCCTACGAGGGGAGTGTTGGCGACATTTAAGTGGGGCCATGTTTAGCCTCCAAATTTGCCGGGGATTAGTCGGGTTTTGGTCCGGACACCCTTAAAAAAAATAGAGAAAAAAAAGACAGAAAATGTAGAAATTTCTAAATTTGGAAAAATAGAGAAAATATATAACATCCATATTGAATGTGCTCTTATAATGACAATTTTCATAAAACAAGATTTTGTAATAAATAATTTGTTTTTCAATGTCACCATGAAAATTGATCATAAGAATAAGATATTTTAAAAAATGGCAAATTGTATAAAAAAAGTAGCGTATTTTAATTTGATTCCTATTTTTGGTAACGTACTTTCAAAACTTTCATTTTGATACCTAAGATGTAAAGTTTTAAACATTTAAGTATCTGGGTTTCATGTTGAAGACTATTTTTAAATTAAAATAAATTAGATTAAAAAAATTCATGTCACTATCCATGTCAGCAAATAATATTGAGTTGAATACCAGTTACTACATCACTCGTCACATCAGCATGAGAACCGGTTAATACTTCAACCGGTTACTCACATGTTTAAAACTTTACATATTAGATACTAAAATGGAAGTCTTGAAAGTACGTTACCCAAAAATATGAATCAAGTTAAAGTACGTTACTTTTTCAAACAATTTGTCCTTTAAAAAATCATATTTATGACAGTAATTTTAAAAACTAGTCTTGTTTTAGAAACAGGTAAAAATTTATGATAAATCTGATGCATGCTAGTTTTGTTATTGGTAAATCTAACAACTTTTGAACAAATTTTTGACATGTTTAAATATAACAAAACTTCATTTTTAAACTCGTTTTGATGTAAAGACTTGTCATGTTAGCCACCAACAAATGACTTACATTACTGGATTTAATAAAATAAATACCTTTTTATCACAGTAACATTGATTCATTTACTGCTTTTAAGAGATAAGACTCGGACTCCAATCGTTGCATCTGCAATCTCTGCCTCGATTGGTGGCACTTCAAGACTGGTTCTGAACGCCGCTATGCCGCGGGTCGACACCGACCTGAGAAATAGATTTTCGAAAACACCCATATTTCGATCTTTCAGTGTTTGTCACCCTTCATGTATCGTTTCTTGAAAACATACTAAAACACTAGCAAAAGCCGCAAATAAGTGATCAAATCGACGCATCTGTTTATGATCATCAAAGATCGAACAGATCAACGACCATAATACTATTCAAAGACGAGCTAGATACCATTCAAGATAAGCATTTAATCGCTTATACTGTCAATATATAGGTTACCCGCATAATTCTCTTACCGTCTCCGTTTATAAATGAAAATATGTATCATTAAACTGTTTTTTTATTGATAAAATATAAATTTTGCCATTAAACTCCATTTCTATCATTAAAAACCTGATCATCTAAACTTCGTTTATATCGCTTGATAATTTTTCGGTAAAGTGGTTTAGGATGATGGGAGGGAAAAAGGTCATGCCCTTGGTATTACTTGGTCAGTTTCTAACTGAATTAATCGTTATCCATGCGAAAGTATCATCAATCATCGTATTCGGAGACTCATCTGTAGATGCTGGTAACAATAACTACGTTCCTACTGTTCTCAAGAGCAATTTTCAGCCATATGGTCGTGATTTCAATGGCAGCCTCCCCACGGGTCGCTTTTGTAATGGTCGAATTGCTACAGATTTTATATCAGAGGCTTTGGGAATCAGGTCTATTATACCTGCTTACTTGGATCCCCGCTATGACATAGTAGATTTTGCAAAAGGAGTTAGCTTTGCTTCAGCTGGAACAGGTTATGATAATCTTACCTCTGCTGTGTTTGTAAGTTCCTAACTCTTTTGTGTTGCATTTCCTTAATTCTACAACAGGCAAGTGGTTGGATTGGTTAATCTGCTCAATTTTTTAACGGGTCAAAGTAAATGGCAATCCAATGCATCATATCGAGTTGACTCAGTTCGTTGGCCCTAAAAATATTATCCCACTTTCCCTTTTTTCTATCGTTACACCCCTTTTGAGTAAAACTGCAATATTCATGCGTTGGATATATTTTTATATAAGCTGACTTCGGTTCTAAAACGTAATGCAGTCTGTAATACCATTGTGGAAGGAGCTTGATTATTTAAAAGAATACCATAACAGAATGCGAGGTTATCTTGGAGCCTTGAAAGCTAACAAAATACTGGGTGAAGCACTTTACGTGATAAGTCTTGGAACGAATGATTTTTTAGAGAACTATTACACACTTCCAGTTAGACCGGCAACTTATACCATAAACGAATACCAGGATTTTCTTCAAGGGATAGCCAAAAACTTCGTCACAAATCTATACCAGTTAGGAGCTCGTAAAATATCTGTAGTGGGGCTTCCACCAATGGGTTGTTTGCCGTTAGAAAGAACTCAAAATCACTTTCCAGAGAGTAACTGCACACGCGAATACAATGTAGTGGCAAAAGATTTCAATGAGAAGTTGCGACAATTGGTCAGGAAGTTGAACGACGAGTTGGGTGGCATACAATTGGTCTATACAGACATATATAAAATCCTCTCGGATGTCATCAAGAATCCGCACTCTTTTGGTAAGTTTCCAGTATTTCTAATGAAACAAATAAACTGGCAAAGACTCACATGTAATATCCGCAGTTCATTATCTTACAAACATATAAAGTTGACTGTTTTATATTCGACTATCATAAATCTGTAAACCAACCTCATTTTTGTTGTTGAATCTGATGTTGCCACTTACAGGGTTTGAGGTTGGACATGTACCATGTTGTGGGGGTGGAAGATACGAGATGAGTTACGTATGTAACGAGTTTAGTTCATTCACATGTGAAGATGCAAAGAAGTATGTATTTTGGGATTCATTTCACCCATCTGAGAAGACGAATTTAATAGTTGCAGACCACATAATCAAAACATCCCTGACAAGATTTCTGTAATCACTCTTATCTAGAAAATCATATGTATTGACTGTGACCAAGTTAGTCATGGTCACTGGTATCTATATACTTAATAATCATGTATTTTAACCATAAGAAATTCAATAACATTACTTTTTTTGAAGTATATGATATTTACATACAGCAAATAGAACAAATAAACTCACACACCCTCCTCATATTTGATGAAGTTTGAACCCTTGACCTCCTAGAAGGCCAATAACTCACATACCACAAGGATAAAGACCATTTGATAGTACATTACTTTAGCTATGATATAATTTCTAAATCAATAAATCAAAATATATAATTTGATTGAACTAATTAATTAACAATAAGTTACATCTGTTTGTCCTTGTGGTTTGTTGGAAACTGCTATTTTCGTCCCTGTATTTTTGAAATTACGATTTTTCATCTATATAGTCTGTAATTCATTGTTATTTTCGTCTTTATTATTTACCCCATCTGTTATAAAATAAGTGTCTACATTACCATTTTAGTTTTATACCAAAATAAGTGTTCACTTTTAAAAGTAAATATCTGATTTCCCATTCTATCATTAAGTATGAGATGGACAAAATTTATCTCTTCATAATTAAGAATAAAATTGTCTTTTTTATCAGTTAAAAATTATAATAATTACACGTTACTAAAACTGTATTTTTTATTGCGAACTTCGTTTTGGGACAAATGGAGTTCAATTTATTTTGTTTCCGTCCTTCATACTTAAAGGTAAGAGTTAGCTTAATGGACGAAATAACAATGAATTGCAAATAATAGCAACGGAAATCGCAATTTTAGAACCTATAGAGATGAAAGTTGCAATTTTGAACAAATACAGAGACAAAAGCGTAATTTACTAATTAATCAGCCCCAGAGATGGGCAAAAATGGGTCCCCAACAGAGCCGGTCCGACACCAAATCGGTCCCGGTCCCAAGTTGTAAGAATTTCAAATTTCGGAATTTCATCCATGGTCGGCGATAACTTTGACAATGGAATCGTTGGATGCATCATCACCAGCACCGGTAACACGAGACACCATCTTATAAGTAAGTAACAACACAAGAAATAGATAAAGAGAACTCAAGTAGCAGTTTTTAAAATCCGAAATCGAACACGAGCCGGAATCATGAATTATAGCAAGAATTGTGAATGTTTTTTTGCGTTTGTGAGTTGGTATTTTCTTTATACACCATATGACTTATATATAGTGTATAGATGATCAAAAAGACCAAAAGAAAGGTCAAAAACCCAAGAGACCGTTCCAACAGTAAAAAACGATCTTTTTTTTTGTAAAAAATTCGGGACCGGTCTCGGGCCTTATTTACACTTGATATGTGTAACCGGGCCGTAACCGGTCCTCCTCAGTCCGGTGACGGTCGGACGATCGGGCCATTTGGCGATCTCTAATAAACCCAAATAGGTATCGGGCGTGGCATTAAGTTAAGGCCCAATAAAGCAAACACTCGGGTTTTCTTTTGTGAAAGGAAGCACAAAACCCCGTATTAGGTTAACAACCAGATCCTCTGCTCCGGCGATCATTTCCACCGACGGTCATCGCCGGCAGTTCCCAACCTCCGAGCAAATGGTTGGAGCTTCGTCACGATTACTCTCTCTCTTAAGCAATCCGACATATCTCCTCCGTCACCGTTCTTTCGCTCTCTTCCGCTTAGCTCGCTGTCGTTCCCTTACTTTCCCGCTCACCACCCTCTCCGCCGCCGCCGACCGCCGCTTCCATCTCTCTCGCCACACTTCACTTATTCCGATCAAACTCACTCAAAATTTCTGCTCGAGGCCGACTTATAATGCATTTCAAGAGAACAATCAGATTCCGGCCAACGACCACCACGCGCAACCGTCTCATCCATGGGTTGAGTGGAATCGATTACTTGAATTTCTATCTGTAGAAGGTTACTTCAATGGCAGGAATAATGTCGAGAATGAATTTGCGGCGAACGAGAACTTATCAATGGAATTTGTCGCTGTTGCGAATTCATGTTTGGCGTTTGCTCGTGATAAACCTGATATCTTAGGGTTTGCAATACGAATTCCTATCTATTGTTTACATATCCTAACCTGTTATGTTATGTGTTTGTTAGCAGCTTAATGAGCTGAATGGGACTTAGAGCTTATTTGGCCAGCTATAAATCACTTTTTGATAGTCGCATGATGATATAGGAAGTGGCTTATAAGCTTCCAGAAAACTTAAGGAGTTGCTTGGTTGGTTTTTCATTATGTCTCTTGTGGATTGTGAAAGTTTTTGTTTAGGAGGGATTTTCAATGACAGAAAGAACATGTTTTTTAATTGGGAGGAATATCTTTGGAACGTTAAGCCTATTAAGCTGCTAACAAACAGACCCTAAGTCTAAACTTGTCATTCCCAATAAAAAAACTCCTGGCCGTTCCATCTATGAGAAAACCCTTCGAAACAAAAACTTTGACAGATTAATCCACATGGCTATGACAGATTAATCCATGCGGATAACTTCAACCATACGGGACCTAATGGAAAACCAACCAAGACAGCCCCTAACATACAACTCTGTTTCGTTTGCTCCCATTGAAATTGCAACAATTAAATTGGGAACAACATTGTTATCAACACAATCATTAATCAGGGTGAACAATTCATCTCCTAAAAGTGATGTGTTTCATAAACCAGTGAAGATTTCCTTTTCTAACAAATTGTTTATCCGGATCTTCTTTCAGGTTGCTTCCAAGGAAGGATATCGAGGTGCTTATCGATGATGGGTATCCATTTCTGTTCAAAAATGCCCATGAAACTGAGAGAAGAATGAGGTCTTTCTTACAGGTTCCCTTCTCATAGTGTTGTATGCTTTATTAAAAATGTATGACTATAACCACTAGGGAACTTCAGTTCAAACTTCTTGTGATCTTATTTGTTATATAATTGAAGGTGGAGGGATCAAACGAAGCAAGCTCAGTGGACTTAATGAAGTATATATTGAGTTATGCAAGCAATCCTATCATTTATCCCGAAAGATACATTAAAGAGGCTACTGAATCATCTGTCCGAAGCTTGGTACAAGAGATCACTAATTTGAGCTATAGGGGCCCATATGCAAAGCAGTTTCAAGCAGTAGGGAGAGGTGAACAAATGCCAAGAATTCTTGGACCAAATATTACAATGAAGAGAGGTGATTGGATATGCCTAAAGTAAGTTGCACTTCTTGTTTTGATTCATCCTGCCATGTATTCCTTTTAGCGTTTATAATTGATCAAGTTCATCTATGCTGTTAAGTTGCTTGATGTAATACAAAACTTGTGGGCGGGACCTATTAGGAATTGAGCGGGCTGTGCACCAGCTCACTGCACACTCGATTATTGCTAGAGAAATTTTTTTAGCCACATGATAGGTGCCGCTTGATTTTGAGGGGTGCCCGTAAATACTTTGAAACCAAATCTATAATAGAGATTAAACACGGGTGTGATGGTTGTATTACCAACTTTATATACAAGAGATAACAGGTTCAAATCTTTTAGGTGAAATTTTACTTTTTTATCTTTTAATTTTAGGGTCTGGGGATGGCCAGAGCATTTACTCAAGCCCAAAATGCTATTCCTGAAATATTGATGGCAACAATATAGTTAGAAGGATTGACCTCACAACCTCAAATATTATTATAAGCATTACTACCACTATGTCAAAGCAATTTTTTGCTAAATTTTCTCCCATTTTGATTTTATTATTTCTTTTCATGATTCATTTTCCTTCCCAATGTATATCCATCTTAAAAGTTGTCCTTCAATCTCATTTTCAAGGCACCATATATTTATTTTAAGGATCAAGTTCGATTCCATTTGACAAAATGCATCTTTATTCCTCAAAAATTGACACAATTGACTTTTCCCTAGGTCAAACTATGATTTTACTGACCTTTGATCACCTTAAAGATGCAACCGCTCAAAGAAATTCCTGAAGAGGAAGAAAAGAAAATCTATTTATCTAAACACCAATTTATCAAAATAACTCCCTAAGCATAAAGTGTTCGAATTTGTGTGTTTTGAGCAGATGCAACTTCATGAACTTCGCGAGGAACACTAAATGCCTTGAATGTGAGGAGCTGAGACCACAAAGACAGCTAACTGATGGGGAGTGGGATTGTCCTCAGTAAGCATTACTTTCACCCTACATTTACTAGTTGTGAGCATGGTTTTAAAAATCGTTTGAGGCGTATGGGGCCCAAAACCATATCTGAGGCGGCGCCTCTTGGACTCTGGATGAGGCTTATGCCTTGGTTCAGTGAGGCGTTGTCGAGGCGACGTCACAGATGATCTACGTTGGTAATGGTTTTTTTGGCTTTTTTATAAGCTTTATGGCAGTAGCAGTACTTTTCTTTATAGTACAAGGTTTTTTTTTTAAAAGAACTAAAAGTCAAATCCAATTCTCTAATGTGTACTTTTAATCTTTTAAAGAACTAAAAGTGAAGGCCCTAATGTGTACTTTTAATATTTTAAAGAACTAAAAGTGAAAGCCCGATTGCGATAACGTGTACTTTTAATATTCTAAAACCCAAAAAGCTATTACTTTCTCCTCTCAATAAAAAAAAGTGTGGTTTGAGCCTTCCTCTTTCTCCAAGCAACCAATTTTTCTACAGCCTCTTCAACTTATCTCATGGTTTCACTCTTTCCTCTATCAAGAACGACTCAACCATCTCCCTTAGTAATTTATTATTATATATAACTAGTACAAATGTATACATTTGTGTAGTATATATACAATTTTTGGTATATATATTTCTGCCTCGGGGCTTACGTCGTGAGCCTCGAGGCCTGATTCTGCTTTTTAAAACCTTGGTTGTGAGCAACTCTTTGCAGCAAATCTGATACCAATGTTCCCTTTTTTCATTTTAGATGTAATTTCTTTAATTATCGAAGGAATACGGTGTGCTTGAAATGCGAGTGTAGGCGACCAGGGGAGGTTTCGTTACCTGGATCACCTTGGCAGGCAAAAACACCATCCGAGAGGCAGCAAACTGATTCTCATTATCGATACAATTATGACGATAATGGCATTCCTAATGATGGCAACAATTTTACGGTACGAAACAAGAATCTAGAACATTCAGTCAACCGTAATCCAGATCGATTTCTTGGCAACACTTCGACCGGAGATTCGGGAACATATTCTAACAACATCGACAGAGGACAAAATGGTAGAAAAGATGGTTATGTTCCATTTGTACCGTTACCTGATATGTCTCCCAAAAATCCCGAAAAGATTACCGATGAGCATAGTGAAGAACAATGCTCCGAAAAATCAACCACTTATGTTCAGAGTAGGCATATTTCAGATGTTGATAAAGAAGAAAAATCAGAAAGATGGTTTAAGAAGGTAAAGGAATTGCACGGTGTCACAGGCCCGACAAGTGATTTTCCGCAGATTATGCCTACGCGTAATGGGGAAAACCGTTTTGTTGATAGAACGAAGAAAGATCGACCCTTTTCTCCTTACCGAAAACAACAGGCCATGGAGCAAGGAAATGCTAGCAGCTATGTTCCTTTTGTGCCATTTCCACCCGACTATTTTGCCAAGAAAGATAACCAGCAGCAGCCCAAGAGCCCAGATTCAACGGTGAAACCAGCAGACGACATCTCTTCTGGTCATTCACATGTGAGTTCGGCCATCTCTTCTGGTCATTCACATGTGAGTTCGGCCATCTCTTCTGGTCATTCAGATGTGAATTCAGCCATCTCTTCTGGTCATTCACAAGGAAACCAACATATGAGCAGTACCAATAAGCTGGATTTAAATGCCCATTCATCTAGTAGCCAGTTTACAAGAAAAGAAACTGTAAACATCGGTCAAAAAACACCAGAAAACGAAAGTGGGTGGACAGGAAAGAGCCTGGAGGGATCAGCAGTGACGGAATCCGATCCATTGGACATGTCTGAAGAGGCCAAGGCCGAAAGGTGGTTCAGACGAGTTGCACAGATCAAGGACATTTCCGAGCTAAGTCAAATCCCCGATGAAGACTTTCCGTCAATCATGCCAATGCGCAAAGGGGTGAATCGGTTTGTCGTTAGTAAGCGGAAAACGCCGCTAGAAAGGAGGTTAACATCTCCACAGTACAGAAAGAATCTAAGAATCATGAGCTCCGATCCTATAAAAAGAGAAGGGGATGATGATACCTGAAAATTTAGAGGTTTAGTTTCTTTCTGGTGCAATGTATGCTCTCATTTTCGGAAATTACGTTTTTGACCTTGGAGTTAGATGAGTGTTGTAGTTATGGCAAAATTCGTTATATATAAGAATTAAAATAGTCATTTTTAGACTTTGGATTCATTTTTTAGCCATTTTCTCTTCCAATATTTAAAAAATGCCACTACTTTCCTAAGTAGCAACTTCTTAACATATGGAGGGGTCAAAGTGTAAAAATGAGAAGTTTTTGAATCAGATCCGTAAATAGAGGGACCAAATCTGTAAACTAGACCATCACTTTTTTTTTTTTTTGAATAACCTGGATATCTAACCCGCTATGTGAGCCGATTAATCCCAGAAGGATCACCTGCTTTGCAGATAGCCCAAAGTCACCGCATTTGAATCTCTGTGAACACAAGAGATTTTTATTTCTCTTTTGAACTTGGAATCTCCTGGTACTTTTGACATTTAGAGTCAAGTTCAAACCAATCAGACACCACTTTTGTAAACTAGACCATCACCTTTTTTTCTTCTTATTTGTAAGTGATTCGTGAGTGATTCGTGAGTTTCAGGCTTCCTAGAATCAGATAATATACTTGCAACACTTCCACAAGTGGCAGAAGTGTCACTTGCAGATCTTTATCTGATTTACATATTTGGTTTTTGTATTTGTGGACCTGGTTCGGATTTTTTTCTAATATATTTTGACCCCTCTGTAAAGGGTGGTGTCATTTATTTAATATTTTTGAAATTTTGGGAGAGAAATGGTTTAAAAATGAATCCAAACTTTGAAAATGGTTATTTTATTAGTTTTCCTATCAACAGGATGGGCTAATTGTACCCTATTTATTAATTTCTTTTTTACATGCTAAAATCAAGACTTATTTTTTATATTTCCAGGAACTTAATTTTAATGCATGAAAATTACGAATTTTGAATTGTAAATGAGTGTTTTTATTTAGAAAATTAAGAATTTTATTTTGTTAAGTAAATTGTATTTTTATAAACAAGTAGAATTTTGAAAAAAGAATTTGAACTAACCTATAGGATTGTGACACGTGTTGATAAAGCATTGGTTCAAGAACCAGTTAATATTTGATGAAAAATTTTCATTATCTATAACTGATTAGCGAATATCATCGCTAAAAGATAGTTTAACAACCTTCTTTAATAAGATTTCTTATTATTATAACATTTTACGTTTTTTTCTTATTAATTATTTTTTATTAAGACATTGTATTTTGAAAAATCTACCTATTATATTGATTCTAGTGGATGTTTATCCAATATTATAATGGATAAATTTTTCAAAATATAATGTTTTAATAAAGAATAATTTAAAAGTATACTGTTGTAATAAGAAAACAAGTACACTAGAATTTTATGAAACTAAGTTGCTATTTCACATATTTTGCTCAAACACCGATGATAACAATCTTTTTTTTGGAAGTATATAATATTTATATACAACAAAAGCAACAAATAAACTCACATACCATTCTCATCTTTTGTGAGGTTTGAATCCCTAACCTCTTAGGAACCAAATACTACAATACCGCTAGGCCAGAGGCCCTTTGATTTGATGATAATTATTTTCTCTGTTAGTATGTAACAAGTGTTCAATGTTTTCCATTTCATACTCATTTCAGATCCTATAATTATTCATGACCCAAAGACAGTTACAATTATATTGTAATTTTTAATTACATCGAAAAATAACACAACAAAATCAACCCATATCACACCTGCTTATAAGATAAAATAGATACAAAATAAAAGAATTGAACGTTTGTTGTACTATTCCCCCAAAAACGTATCATGGTTGCAGTAAATAAAAAACAACAATAAGTTTCGTTACATTTTGATGTATTATTCATTAAGATGACCAGTTATTCAAATCAGTTTTGGGCCTTGGGAAAATGCAGCTTTATCAACATAGGAAGTTCAGCCAGCTCCACCTGAGTTTTGCCCAATAGAATGCTCTTCAGTTTTTCATCACAATTGATTATGTTCTTGTTTTTTGGATCCTGAATAATAAACATAACAACATATGCATTATTTTATTTGAAAGTATATATAATATTTATATTGACCACAGGGGTGGTGCCTGATTGGTTTGAGCTCGACTCCAAAGGTCAAAAGTACCAGGAGTCCCAGGTTCAAATCATAAATATCCCCTTTGGCCACGGAGGTTCAAATGCGGTGACTCCGGACTATCTGCAAAGCAGGTGGTCGTCCTGGGATTAATCAGTTCGCATAGCGGGTTGGATATCCAAGTTAATCAATATATATATATGGGAATGAAGATATATATGGGAATGAACTCCAGACAGTGATAGACCCATGATTTTTGCCGAAATTCCATCTTTTTGAGGGATCTTTTTTAGTTTTTTGGTTGATTGCGAGACTGATAACTATATCTATACTTGTGTTTTCAGAATTCAGATCATACTTTTTGGGTTCGTATGGTTTGTATAAAACATCAACTCCTAGTGCACAAAAACGTTTCGGCTTTGCAAGGGATGCGGAGACCGAGTCTATTTACGTGGCATCTTGCTAGCTTTTCCAAAGAGGTTGTTAGTGTGACCTTTTGGACTCAAGATTTCATGATGCGAAATAGTAACGACATAAAATTGAAAAGATTGGTAAGTACCTGAAGGTTGTTGTCTTTTATGTGTGACCAAACACGTCGAAAACAACCTAGTCGAGAACTTTGGGACTGTCCAACAAACTCTCGAAGTGTTGAAGGCAAGTTAACAAGATCGATCAACGTTGCAAGTTTCTTTGGGTTATCTGTAACAGCCTTCTTCATCCTTTGTGGTAACATCTTCACTGTTGAAAGCTGCAATTTTTTTATGGAACTAGTCATTCGAATAATCCAAATCCAGTAAACGACACCAAACGAGCCCATTGTATGCCACCCGGAGTCAAGAAGCATACCCCGAATTTTTTTAAGTGGTAACACAATTTAACTATGAAAGAAATTTATGGAAAAAATATGCAATATTAGTATGGATCTGTTGGTTGGTTCCTTATTCCTCCATAAACGTACTTTTTCCACTTACTACGGAACCATGAAGCAGTGGCCAATACCATCGTATCAATCAATGTAGGTCCTCCAATGGCAGCGAAGCCAAGCCTCGGTGCCATAAAGCGCCATATCAAGGCATTTAGAATAACGAATAAAACCCAAAACGAAACTTCTTCAAAACGAATTTTGTAAGACATTTCTTCTGGGGAATTTAATCAAACAGTTGGTGTTCATTGAGGTTTCCATCTATTGTACAGTACAAATCATGAAAGAACAGCCATAAATAACCCCGAATTAGAATATGGGGGTGCTCATAATCATCATCGTCATCGAATCGAATATGTTTAAGAGTTATATAAACTACTACGAGAATTTTGCAACTAGTAAAACGAACAGAGCAGGTGCTAAAGTTAAGTATATAAATTTAGGGAATCATACCGGAGGTTTACGCCTCAAAAGCAACCAAATCAGGTGTATCGGAAGGGTGTTCTTCCGCCGCCGATAACTCGTCGCCGGTTGGTTCTTAAGATCTTTTGCAGTCTGTTCCGTCTCTAAAAAGATGAGAAGCAAGTCCCGGTGGAGCAAGGTGGACAACCTCGGTTTATTTATCAGTATACTATAAACTTGGTCCCTATAGTTTGTCAAAAGTATCACTTTTTGTCCCTACAATTTCGTAATTACAAATTTTCACTGTGGTTTACAAAAACATACAAATTTGGTCTCCCTCTCTAACGTTAGTTAAAAAAATTCAATTAAATGAGGGCCCATTTACCAAATGCTTACCAAGGTAAGTACGAACTGACAAAATTCAACACTATTATTCATTTATCGGATAAGATTTTAGTATACCAAAACGGTACCGTATGCAACAATTTATCCAATAAATGCTAACCATGGTAATAGTCATCGCCTTAATTTATCGGGTAGGGCTCTCATTTCTTGCTTTTGCTCTTACCGAATAAGATTCTTAGTCTTTGTCATATTGTATAAGATAATGTGACTTGATAAACACTTACTCAGATAAACATTTAGTAGATAGTTGTTGAGGGGCATTCATCCTTTTATCGATTGTTTTGTCTTTTACTCAATCAAAAATCACAGAACCAAAATCATATATTTCTTTTTCTGTTGGTTTACACGCTATAGAAAATACCAACACAAAAACTCTCATAACATCATAATGAAATAATTAAATATCATAATAATAAATGAATAGAAATATAATTGATTTTTCAGACCTAATGTAAATTCAATTGTAAAGGTGGGTTTAGTATAACATGAGAGACATAACCAAACAAAAACTTGTTCCATGTTTATAATGACAATAAGAATAAAACAAAACTAAATATCACATAAATGTATTTTTTGTCCCACCACCAAAATAAGTGAAACAAAAATTAGGAAAATGAGACGAGATTAATAAATTCTACTTCATTCTCGTCCATCCAATCCACTTCTGCCTACATACCAACACTTAGAGACCATTTACCAAACACTTACCAGATCATTTATTTTACCGAATGAACCTACCAGCTAAGAACAATGACAAGAACCGAGAGTCTTACCCGGTAAGTGAATGTGACAACTCTTACCCGGCTAGCGCTTACCAAGTATAATGTTCATTCGATGTTGTTTTGATGGACTAGAATCTTATCCGGTAAGGTAAGTGATGGTATTGAATGTTACTGGTAAGTGCTTATTGGGTAAGCATTTGGGTAAACGGCCTCTTAAAAGTGCTTAATTCTAGGGTTTTGCGGCAGCAAATAAATAGCATGTTCAAATTCATCATGGAATAATGTTGTCCAGTATCATGGTACATGCTATACTACACTATATGAACGTCTACATATGTTATTACATGGTCGATAAACGGATCCTTTTTCCTCAAACCGATCACACCCGACCAACTTTAATCATACGGATTTTTGAAATTCTTTAAAAGATCGGGAATATCATAACCCAACATATCATCGACCGTCTGTATCATTTTAGGCTTCAATTTTTCAAATTTGTCGAGATTATAACCACTCAATCTCTCCCTGAAGCTTTCTACATATGGGAAATCTCCTGCTGGTAAATGATGCTCTCTTTGAACCTGTTCACGGAAGCCGTAAGCAATTATCCCCTCCGTCCCAAAATAAATGTCCACAATGAAAAAGACACAATTTTAGGAATGTGTAATTATTCACTTTCTAATTAACAAAAGGACAATTTTACCCTTAATAATAGAGAAATTTCCTCTATCGCATAATCAAGGGTAACATGGGAAAATAGACTTTTTTGGGAAATTGACAAAAATAGCCGATCTACCAAAATCAAATCGCTTTATAGTCATTTCCGAACCTCATTTCATTTTGTAGCTAATCCTTACGCAGAAAGCTTACACATATGCGTAAGGATTGGTTTCAGGAAAAAAAAAAAGAGGATCCTTACGTAGAAAAAGGATCTTTACGTAGAAAATCCACTTTCTGCGCAAGGATTCTCTTTCTGCGTAAGGATCCTCGTTTCTTTTTCTTTTTTTCCGAAAACCAATCCTTATGCATATGCGTAAGCTTTCTAGATTGGCTATAAAGTGAAAGTGGGTCTGGATATAGCTATAAAGTGAAATCACTTTGTCAGATTGGCTAATTTTGTAAATTTCCCAAATTTTTTAAGTGGACACTTATCTCGGTACAAACTAAAATAGGAACGTAGACACTTATTTTAGACAGATACAGCATTACAAAGTATAAGTAACTTGAAGAAGTTGAAGGGGATGGAGAAAGAGAACCTTTGCGAAAACGTCTTCTAGGTTATCGATGAGTTTCTGCTGAGTTTTAGCCTTGCCCATCATGGCAGGCATCTCTTTCTTAAGATGGCTGATAATGAAAGCATGAATCTTGGCGGCTCTAGCGCGTTTCACAAACTCGTTGATCTGTAAACAATAATGGATCAAACATATTACAAAAACACAACATATATAATTAAATGAGATTAAGAGAACCTCATAAAGGTTAAGATCATGTGTTGTTTCACATTGTAAAACGATACATGTGAAACATACGGTGTTAGTTTCAAATTGTGAAACATAAATATAGATAAAAACGTTTCACATTGAGAAACAATACATTGAGATTGGATATCATGGGTTTGTAACATTTGTGGTCCTCACATAATTAGCCATATATATATTGGGCTAAATCTAATGAGAACCACAAAAAGGTTACAAACCAATGAGAACCGATTTAAAAATAAAATTTTACATGATTTTTTTACATCAAATGCTAGGATTTAAGATATCGCTTCACATATGCTAGGGTTTGCAACCTTTTCGTGGTTCTCATATGAATATATAATATATATATATATATATATATGTGTGTGTGTGTGTTTGTAATAAAAAGAGAACCACAAAAAGTTTAAGAACCATGAGAACCATTTATCTTGTGTTTGTGAAACAATGCATGTAAATGTATAGCGGTATTTCACATTCATATGTGAAACAAAACATATTAAAAATAGACATTAAGAATAATCACCTTGTGAAACAATACCGTATTTTCACATGCGTTGTTTCACAAATGCATGTAAATGTATAGCGTTATTTCACATTCATATGTGAAACAAAATATACTAAAAATAGACATTTAGAATAATCACCTTGTGAAACAATACCGCATTTTCACATGCGTTTGTGAAACAACACATGAAAATTGGTTCTAAACTTTTTGTGGTCCTTGATTAGTCCCCTATTGTGTGTGTGTGTAGGGGAGGAATCAAATGCAAACCTCCCTATTTGTAAAAACTGTGCAAACCTCATTCAACCAATCATAATTTTTCTTTTTTTCTTTTTTTAATTATAAAGGTTAATTAGTCATTTTATTGTAGAGGGTATTAATTATCGACATTATCATCTTCGTTATATTAATTTTAGAAATGAAATTCCATCAAAATGAGAAATACATGAAACAATTTTATTAAATTAAATAATGAAATCAACGGATGAGGATAGTCTGTAGAGTTTGTACAAATGGCTTGGTTTGCAAAGTAAACCACCCCTATATATATAGTAAAAACGAGAACGTTAATGTACAATATCACATGTGATTTTACATTAACTTCAAAAAAATAAAAGCGGCAGACTTTTCCCATGGGAAAAGTCACGGCAAATCATATATGATTTTGTACATAAACGACCTTTTGTTATTTTCTTAAATAGTTAGCGTTCTCGTTTGAACCTGCCCCTATATATAATGAATGAACTCCAATTGATTTGCATGTTTAGTGGACGAACCTGGGTGTCCATTCTTATGTTGAAAGAATGGACACCCAGGTTCGTCCACTAAACTTGCAAATCGATTGGAGTTCATTCATTTAGCCCATTTCTCATTTTCATTTTGTAGGACCATCTTCAAGAAACGACAAGAGATGGAACCTTCAAAACGAAAATGAGTAACAAAAGAAATGAAATAAATAAAATGGAGCCTAAATATTTAAAGAAACTCACTCTGCGATCACAAGCCTTCTTAGGTATGTCTTTTAAGTCACTAAGAAGATCATCCTGCTCTTTCTCGAACAGCTCTGTCCCAATTGGTCCAGCAGTGACCGAATTTATAGGTTTGTCATTGAAGGAACTGATGACACAATGAGATGCATAAATTTGCATAAAAGAGAGATAGTGAAGGTAAATTGATACAGGTCCTAAAGATTCTGGCCATGTAAATAATAAAACGTTGTATACATAAAAACAATAAATATAACGTACTTTGGCCTGGTTCCTATTAAATGCAACGTACTTTTAAAACCTTTGTTTTGTTACCTCAGACGTGATATCTCAAACTTTTAAACCAAAATATATTGTTTTTTCATGCAATCTCATATGTAAACTTGGTACCTAAATGTTCGAGATGTCATTATATGAGATACCAAATTGAAGGTTTTGAAAGTACGTTGCACAAAATAAAATAGGACCAAAGTAAGCTACATTTCCGGGAAATTGACAGAAATAGCCAATCAACAATTAGGGTTTCACTTTTAGCCAATCCTTACGTAGGAGGCTTATGCATATGCGCAAGGATTGGTTTTCGGCAAAAAAGAAAAACAATCCTTGCACATATGCATAAGTCTTCTGCATAAGGATTCCAATATGATCTGATACATAGTGGAATCCTTAAGCAGAAACCTTACGCATGTTCTTTATTTTTCGGAAAACCAATCCTTACGCATATGCGTAAGCCTTCTGCGTAAGGATCGGTTAAGAAGTGAACCTCGGTCAAAAAATGGCGAAAGTGAAACCACCTATCAACTTTGGTTATTTATGTAAATTTCCCTACATTTTCATGCAATTTTCCCGAAACAAAAAAAAGTTAATTCATGAGCATTACCCAATGTAAACACGCATAACCTCCGGAGTATTTAGGACTTTACCAAGGGACCACATTAGGGCTCCATACACCCTCATCAGCTACAAATACAAAAACCACTCGTTAGCAACAAAAATGGATGCAACTAAACCCAAACAAACTGCGACAAACAATAAATTTACGTGTCACAAATAATTTCATACTTGTTGGGTATCAACTTGATCAGCCTTGTTCAAGACCACACGTATTTTGTCATCATTTCCTCGTAAGGATGATATGACACGTTTGAATTCATCACTGATATCCAGTTTATGGGGATCAAAGAGAAGCAAGATTAGATCACACTTTGCAGCAAACCAAGAAGTTACACCAGTGAAGTCATAGCTTCTCTGTGTTCTTTGCTTTTCTCCTGATAAAACTCCAGGAGTGTCCACAAACGTAATATGCTCTAGCAGCTTTTAATCAGAAAACACGCCATTCGGTTAGCATAAAAGAAAATAACGAGATACAAATACTTATTATGAGTTCTGTTACGATAACTAACCGGATGTGGCATTTGAGAACACTCGAATTTCGACAAGAATGCAGTTCCAAAATTAGTTAAACCGCTATATGGCATGTCTGCTTGAACAGCAACAGTATTTCCAGGAATACTTCTCTCATCTGGTCCGTTCTGTGAAAACAAAGAGTGAGGGTCATAATCAAATATTTTTATGCAAAAAACTGGAGAAGTATCATTAAGTGACACACTAAGGGTGTGTTTGGTAAGCTGGACAGGGTGGGACAGGACAGAACAGAACATATTTGTCCTACGTTTGGTATGGCTTAATGTGGAACTAAGTAGTACAAGAGTGGGACAGGCTTGTTCTCCTCTACCCCATGGAACTAAGTGGAACACAACTTTTTTTACCTGATTACCCTTTCCCCACCCGGCTTATCGCATGAAGACTTAACCCCCCTTCTCCTCCATCGCTTCCTTCATCT